TTCATTATATGCCTCTCAATGTGCTTCAAGGTTTTTGCAAAGCTCTATAAATCACTTCTTATTTCATATCATGTTAACTTAATAAACATTGGTATCTAAAAATGCTTTTACGGGATAAAAATGTCTTCTTTTAATTAGACCTTTCTGAGATGTTCAAAGAACCTTGAAGCACATTGAGAGGCATATAATGAAAATTTTTGCATGAAAAAATTTAATTTCCAAGCTTCATTTAAAGAACTTTGTAATGAAATTATAAGTTAAAGACACGTCCTTCCTGGCTGAGGGTCGGAGTCCCTTAAAGACTGTTTGTAATGAACATAAGTTTGTAAATTTTAATAAAATAAAACTAATAGATGAGTACCTTTTAGGCTTTTTTAAAAAAGATGTATCACATTATATACCTAAATACATGTCTATCTAAGATATTTAATTTTCTTAAGTTTTCCACTCCACTCAGCCACAAACAAGTTGTCTTTTTTGTCCACACATAAACCAAATGGATCCTTCAGATCACAGTTATCTATATAACGGAGGAACTGTCGGTCCTGGTCTAGGATGTGGATACAGTGGTTATCACCGTCTGCTGTCAGGATCTGACTCTGGCTGTCCGTTGTGATGCCAAAAGGTTGAAATGGTTTGTTCTTTTTAGCAGAAGGATGACCAGTGTATCTAAATCGGAGTTTTCCAGCCTGATTGACAACCACTACAGCACCAGCTTTATAGTCAGCCACACAGATATCCAGGTTTCTGTTCTCACTGATGTACTTGGTGTTTCTATTTCCTGAATACAGAGGTTTACCCTCCTCAGCAAACTGTATTGTTTGTTTCTCTGTGGAGCCTGAGTAACGGACAACTTTGGACCGTGGTCTAGGAAATATAGAAACCAAGAAATAATCATCGCTGCACATGGTAACCAGGAGATCACCAGAGGAGGTGACACAGAGTTGTGTATGTATCCAGTCCTGTAGTCTGATCATCTCCACTGTCTGTCCATTCTTCACTTTATTTATGGTCTTTCTTTCCCAATCAGAGTAAACTAAAGCCCCATCAATTGTCACCTTGTAATGCTGTTCAGTATCTATTGTCTTGGGGCTAAATATTGGCAGTGATACTAGAACTTTTGGAGGAAGATTGCAGAATTCTTGGTTTTTAGACTTATATTCTATAGCCATAGATACTAGTATTTCATTTGATTCTTCCACTTTTTTCAGACTGAGCAGTGTTTGTTCAATAACTGACTGTATCTGTTTGATTTCTTCCAGATGTTTCTTTAGAATGGCCTTGTGTTTGATTTTCATCTCTTTAATTTCTGTTGTCAGTTTGTTGACAATGTTGTCAATTTCTTTGTGGCATTCTTCCCCATGGTTTTTCACTGCTGTTGTAAGTTTCTCATATTCTCTTTCTAAGTTTTCTATCTGGATTTCTGAACCAGTGGCAATTTCTTCATATGTTGGGGAAATTATGCTTTCTATATCCTGTAAGTCTTTTTCAATGGTTTGTCTCTTTGTGTTATAAATTTCGAAAAGGTTTGACATTGAGTGTCTCTTATGACTTTCAGATACTGAGCACAAAGCACAAATAGGGATGTCACATTCTTTGCATTGTAATTCACAGGCTTTGGTCGGATGTGTTGTACACTTTGGATAAATCAAGGTTGATTTTCTTTGCTGAAATGGGACAATTTGATGCTTGCTATACTCCTCAGCAATGTGTTCTCCAATACAGGGTTTACAAAGCTTGACATGACAGAATTCACAGTACATCTGTACTATAGCTGTCTCGCATAAGTCACATCTGATCAAATCCTGGGCACTGAGGCGGGGATCCATGATGGCTTTGAATCTAAAATTTGAGATTTCTTTTATTCATGATTTTTTAAATAGTAATATACGAGGGTTGTTCGATATGTATTGTGTATTGTACGATATCTCAAAAGCATTCTATTCAAATAGTCAAATGGACATTACATCCCTTCAAAGTATTCTCCGTGATTTGAAATACAAAATTTTAATCTATGAATCCATTTCTGAAATGCGTCACGGTACGCTGATTTAGGTATAACTCTGAGGCACTGACTGACGGCTGAGCCAAGGGCCTGCCGGGACTTGTATCGACGACCAGAAGTTTTTAAGTTTTGGAAAAAGGAAAAAGTCGCATGGTGCTAGATCCGGAGAGTATGGTGGGTGTGGCAAGATGGTAACATTCTCAGACTTCAAAAATAGCTTCACAAGCTCAGATGTATGTGATGGAGCATTATCATGAAGAAGGCGAACATGCCTAAATCCCTACACAGGACATCGTTTCTGATAATATTTCTTGAGCTTTTTCAGTACAACATCTCGGTAATACCGACCTGTAACACTTTTGCCCTTCTGCACCGGAATTTGTACGGCTAAACCATCACAAGAGAAGAATATGCAATAAAGGACCTTCTTTGTGCTCATTGTCCTTTTGGCAACTACAGGCCTTCTACCGTGTTTGGTTAGCCGTAATTTGTTTCCAACTTTTCTTACTGGTTCAAAATAGTGAACCCATTGTTTCGTCACCAGTAACTGCAAATTATATTGATTGAAGTTTGGAAACATTTTTAGCAGTCGCTTGGCGGTTTGTATTCGTACCCTTTTTTGGTCATCTGTCAATATATGGGGTATCCATCTGGCAGAAATCTTTCGTACTTTCAAAATACGCTTCAAAATGAAATACACCCGCGATAGCGATATGCCAACAGCTTTGGCAATATCACGAATCATGTACCTGCCATCACTTTCAATTATTTCCTTGACTTTTGAGACATTTGTCTTGCCTGATACAGTCACAGGTCGACCCGATTTTGCTGCATCTTTGACGGACTCTGTGCCAGTCAGAAATTTCTGTCTCCACCTACGAACTGTCTCATAAGATACATGTACCTAAAATCAGACCCATAAACTTCCCCCAATTCAGTAAAAATCTGCTTTACCGAATTACCGAGTTTTGTGCGAACTTTTATATAAGCTCTAATTTCTTCAATATTCTCAACCCGTTTCCCAACCATTTTTACAACAGTTGTCAACGACTGGCTCTATTGAAATGACGATTATTTTATAACCATGTGTAGATGAAGGCTCGTGTTTATACTTTTGGCAAGGTATTGAATAGAGTTATCCAGGAGTATAAATATCGACGAAATAGTGCAAGGCGTTATCGCACTGTGGCACAATACACAATACATATCGAACAACCCTCGTAATATGCACTTTAAATTTTGAATGAATATACTCAAATTTATAATATATAATTTTCTTTTTATTATTCTTGGAAAAACTCTATTGATTATTAGACGATATCAAATAAATGTTATATAGAAGTCACATTTTTTAAATTTATTTTCTATTTTTAGATTAAACATGTTAAAAATGAACATATTCTGAAAATTCTCAAAAAAGAACTTGTTATACCCTACGCAACAAGTTGCGTGAAGTACGAGGGGCATTTCAAAAGTTCTTAAAACTGTTTCAAAAAAAAAATTGAATGTTTCACGGAGATTATTGAGTTTGATATCATTGGAAAGATCAGAAAAATATACACTTATTGTGACGTCACTTTATAGTCTTTATGACGTAATATTTACATTCGCTGTGTTTTTCTAATAAGCCAACTGTGAAATTGATTTGAAAGTCATTTTCGTGTATACTCACGAGTATAAATATACACGTATATACTGATTGTGTATAGGGATTAGCGTTTCACATGGTCTGCACGACCGTCAATACCTCGGGGTGCCACGCATGTAAAATTTAGTCCCTCCCCTTACCTGAGAAAACCCTACTGTTAAAAATCTTGGCCTTTAAGAATTTTTACTGTTCTTTGAATTTGCCCCATTTTAAATTTGCCCACTTGTGACTATTAGGGCGAAAGAAATAAAAATAAACAAGAGGCCCATGGGCCACATCGCTCACCTGAGAAGCTTTGACCATTCTGTTCTTTACCAGATTTCCCCCTTGTAATACATTATATATCCCCACCCTACCCCACTGATCATAATTAAGACATTTTGAAATCAACTACCCCAGGATCCTTCCATGTGCAAATAAGTTTCAGCTTTTCTGGCCCAGTGGTTCTTGAGAAGAAGATTTTCCAAGATTTTTCCTATATATTTCTATGTAAAACTTTGATCCCCCCATTGTGGCTCCACCCTTCCCCTGGGGGTCATGATTTGAACAATTTAAAATCTACATTACCCAAGAATTCTTCCACATAAGTTTCAACTTTTCTGGCCCAGTGGTTCTTGAGAAGAAGATTTTCAAAGATTTTTCCAATATATTTCTATGTAGAAATTTTTATTACCAATTGTGGCCCCACCCTTCCCCCGGGGTCATGATTTAATTTGGAATCTACACTATACCAGGATGCTTCCACATAAGTTTCAGCTTTTCTGGCCCAGTGGTTCTTGAGAAGAAGATTTTCAAAGATTTTTCCTATATATTTCTATGTAAAAATTTTGATCTCCCTTTGTGGCCCCTCTTCCCCCGGGGTCATGATTTGAACAATTTAATATCTACACTACCTGAGGATGCTTTCACATTAGTTTCAGCTTTCCTGGCCCAGTAGTTCTTGAGAAGAAGATTTTCAATTTTTCCAAGACATTCTGATGTAAACCTTTGATTCCCCATTGTGGCCCCACCCTTCCCCCGGGGGTCATGATTTTTACAATTTAGACTGGTATATCCAGGATGCTTTCACATAAGTTTAATTCAGCTTTTCTGGCCCAGTGGTTCTTGAGAAGAAGATTTTTCCTATATATTTCTATGTAAAACTTTGATTCCCCATTGTGGCCCCGCCCTTCCCCCGATCAATTTAATATCTACACTACCCAAGGATGCTTCCATTAAAGTTTCAGCTTTCCTGGCCCAGTAGTTCTTGACAAAGAAGATTTTCAAGGATTTTTCCTATATATTTCTATGTAAAACTTTGATTCCCCATTGTGGCCCCGCCCTTCCCCCGGGGGTCATGATTTGAACATTTTAATATCTACACTACCCTAGGATGCTTTCACATAAGTTTCAGCTTTTTCTGGCCCAGTGGTTCTTGAGAAGAAGATTTTTTAATGACCCCACCCTATTTTTGTCTTTTCTTGATTATCTCCCCTTGCGAGGGGGATATGTCCCTTCCTTTTTAACAATTTAAAATTTCCCTTCACTCAAGGATGCTTTACACCAAGTTTGGTAAAATTGGCCCAGTGGTTCTTGAGAAGAAGTCGAAAATGAGAAAAGTTTACAGACGGACAGACAGACGGACGGACGACGGACAAAATGTGATCAGAAAAGCTCACTTGAGCCTTCGGCTCAGGTGAGCTAAAAAGGGCAAAAATTTCCCTGTATACTTCCCTGTATTCAGTAATCATTTCTTATAAATTATTTTAAAAAGAAATTAATACCTTAAAATAAGAATTTAGTCTAATCTTCTCTCTATCTCTGCAAATAAAGAAAAAAATTAAGAAATCACGGATATTGTCTTTCTCAATAAGTCTTAATCTTTTAAGGGACCACAAGAAAAAAACTTTTAGATAAAATAAATCAAGCTTGGTAAAACAAATCCATGGCTAATCACTGCTTATAAATAAAATTATTGGAAAAGAAAACAGTACCTTGAAACAGATATTATATAAATCTTATTCTTTCTCTGCAAAAATAGCAATTGGATGTGACTTTATCACCTGATTCAGTATAGGTTAAAATACAGGTACACTTCCTGTCATGTTTCATTTAGAGTTATCTCTCTTGTTTTAGGCTTCTGTATAGTTATGTACTTATTTTTTGTTGGTAAAATACATACCGTCTAGTGTCATTTAAAAATTTTTTTTATGCATGTAGTTGGCTTAGGTGGAATTCAAACACTGCAGTTAAATAGTGTATTTTGTACAGTTAGTGAGACACAGAGAAAAGAAATAGTTATGTGCATGTTTAAGAATATTTCACTATCAATTCCTGAGTTCCTAACCAAATGAACCAATCATGGGAATATATGTCATTCTGCATGACTGTACTTATAGATTTTACTTATGGTATTTATATGCTTTATGGAAGTTACTTTGAAAGTTGAAAAAAAGTAAAATGTCCCTGGACATGAACAAATCAATGATCATATATCTGGTTTTATAAACCTTTCTATTTTATTAAGGACCCTGGCCAAGCAAGCTGAGGCAGAAGCAGAACTACTGAGACAGAAACAACAGAAAGCTGAGAGAGAAGCCATGATAACTGGTGAGCTGTGTACCTGACCAGTGAGATTCTGAAGGAAGTCCTGGATCAGAAGACATCGAATATGTCCACCGCAGAAATCAGGTTATCTTTTGGATAAAACTCAGATTTGTTACAAACATAAAAACATAAGGAAATTCCAAATAGTTTTGTATTATCCTTATTTTGAAGAATAACCTACTAGTATTTCTAATTTAAATCACTTTTTTTCATTTTGCTAGTTTTATCATTACTGAACAGAAAAATACATGTACAGTGTATATTCTAATTCGAACATCATTGTCATGATCATAGGGAAGTGCATGCTGAATTAAAGAGGCAAAGAATCCAGAGGTGTTCTGCAGAGATAGCAGATGTCATTCTGAACTCCTCCATCCAAGACATGACTCAATCTGTATCATCAGAAGTTTATCAGAAAGATGTCGTGGAAAGGCTTCAACAGTTAGCTGACCTTGAACATTGTGTCAAGGTCAAAAGAACAGGGCGCTATCTCAGAATGTGGAAAGCTAGCACGGCTGAATTAAGTTTAAACGCTCCTTGCTAGACTTCCCTTCATCAATCTCCATGATGGATCCAGCACAGCAGATAGAGGCCTTAATTCCAGAGAGAAGGGTGGAGGGGGTGGATGAGGGAGGATTCTATGTGAACCAGACAACAAAGTTATCTGTGGAGTCCCCAGTGATATTTGTGAAGAGATCAGAGATGGAAGACAAAGTCCTGACGGCTCATGAAATCTACAGGAATCTATGTCGACAAAAAGCCTGGAAACCTTTAGACATTTGTTCTCTAGGTGGACATCATCTGCTGAAGAAAAATAGAGTGTCGTGTAAAAGAGGTCATCATTAAAGCTGAATGAAAAAAATTGAAGCCAGACAACTTTGTTAAAATCATTGTTATGAAATAAGTTGCATGTTCATATACTTTTTTTTAGAAAATGTTAAGTGCAGCCAAGTGTTTTGGAAACTGGTGATTTCTTTACCTGACCCAGACTACATACAGACAGACCACCAAGGTCAAAGTCTAAGTAATCTCACTAAATGGCTGAAGGCCAAATTCTCAAGAGGGACCCCCAAATCTGACCAACATTCTTCAGTACAGGTAAATCTAACTACTTACATGTAACCAACAGGTATTTGAAAGATATATGATTTGGAAAAGCTAGTCAATCAAGAAAATCAAATATTTCACTCAAAAAAAGATGAGAAATGTTAAAGATGAAAATTATTTTGATGTCAGTGTTATTTGTTATTTAATTTCATATTTTTTAATATTGATAGAATGAACTGCTGAGTTTGTATACTGTACCTGTTACACATGAATCAATGTCAGGCAGTCTGGGTCTTTGTGTGAGGCTCCTGGAGGGTAATATATCCATTTCTGATGTACGTGGTTCCCTTCTGGGAACCTCTTGTCTTCTTTTTGTTATGCCTCCACCCCTCAATGAAGATCCAGAGTGGGTAAGTCAATAGCTCAGAGAGAGAGATGTGTTAATTATTCTACTAACAAGTACTGTAAAACATCTTTGTGACCATATCTAATGTTCTTTAGCTTCTATTGGAAGAAGAAAAAAGAAGATTAGAAGATCTCCTTATGAGCAAGCCAACCTCTCCTGCTCTCTCATTGGTTGAATTGTGTCCAGTCCCAGCCCATGAAAATTTAGATGAGGACTTTATAATGAGATGTCTGAATATTGATGAGCTGGTTGCTGATGGGAAGATAAGTGACCTGTCCCTCTGTGTTGTGAAATATGATGAAGATTTTCCTCAAGGTATGGATGTTGAGGAACCCGAGGTCACAGAAAAAGTAAGTGTTCAAATGCCAATATTTCCTGACCAGTCTCTCTGAAATTAATTTATTATACCCTCGCAAACAAAGTTTAGGGGTATATAGGAATCTTCTTGTCAATCTGTCTGTCTAGCTGTCCATCTGACTGTGCAAACTTTTCCGGTCCATATCTTTCTTACAGAGGAACATAAGAATCTACTGATTGTTCATGACCTGAGGGTGTGGCATGACTTTGACCAAAGGTCATTTAGGCAAGTTCAAGGTTACTGAAAGAACAATTTCATAATTTGTGTCCAATCCATATCATTCTTATGAATAATCTAGTTGAGTTACCATTTGACAGATATTGCTTATGACCTGAGGGTTTGTCATGACATTGAACCAGTGTTATTTGTGCAAGTTCAAGGGCACTGACAGAAAAAGTCAAAATATGTGTTCGGTCCATACCTTTCTTATGTGAGAACCTCAATCTACTGCTTCACAGAAAGATTGGTTATGACCTGGTTATGAGGGTGTGCCATGATCTTGACCCATTGTCATTTTGGTGAGTTCAAGGTCACTGAAAAAGTTCATTATTCATGTCAATATCTTTCTTATGGATAAACTTTGTGAGTTCCCATTTTACAAATATGTTGCTTATGATCTGAGGGTTTGACTTTGTTTCTATATGTAGTTATCAGAGAGTGTGAGGTGGCTGACAGAACACTCCCCTGATCCTCCCAGTTTGAGGGTCCAGTATTGTAGGA